GGGAGCGCTGGCGGCAGCAGAACGTGAATGGCGCCTTCGCAGAGCTCAGGAAGCTGCTGCCAACGCACCCGCCCGACCGGAAGCTGAGCAAGAACGAGGTGCTCCGCCTGGCCATGAAATACATCGGCTTCCTGGTGCGGCTGCTGCGCGACCAGGCGGCTGCTCTGGCCGCAGGCCCCGCCCCGTCCGGGTCCCGCAAAAGACCCGCGCATCGGGGCCCCAACGATGGCGCCCGCCGCGGGCCTTGTCGCAGGGCCGAGGCCGCGGTGCCCTCGCAGCCCGCGCCCCCGGTGGGCCCCGACGGCAGTACCGACGGGGCGGCCCGGCCCATCAAGACGGAACGAGCGGCCGTGAGCCCTGAGGTGCGGTGACCTCTGCAGCGTTGCTTCTGAGCCGAGGGTCACCGGGAACTCAGCCCAGGGCTGTCGAGGAGGAAAGGGCGGATGATGCCTTGCGCCTGCTCTGGGGCGAACTCCCCCGAAGAGGGAACAGTGAGGACGTCCCCAACGGGGAAAAGGGTCCCAGGGGTCTAAGGGCGACTGTCGCCCCCAGGGGGCCCCCCAGCAGACCACCTTCTTCTTCTAATTTTTTTTTTAAATCACCCCCCAACCGCTGGAAATAGCCTTTCCCGCGTCTCCCTCCTAGGGACGAGGTGCGGGAACCAATATGGCAGACAGCTCATCGGACTAAAGTGGTGCCTCTTTTTTCCGGGCTGGGGTCACCGAGAGAGGTGGGGAGGGACCGGGGAGTCTTTGCCCTTCTCACTGGCACCCCCTTCTGGAGACTCATGGATACACGCTCCATGACCGCGTCCGCTGAGGCGCAGAACCGACGCGGCGACCCACCCACCGATCCCGAACCAGTCCCCGGATGAAGGCGTTATCGAAGGCTCGGGCGCTCTTACTTTTGTTTTTCTTTATTTCTTTATTTCACATACACATTAGCCATTCAATGGAGAAGCCGGAGAGAGTCAGGCAAAGATGGTATAACAGAAGCGCAGTGACGGGGGCGGGGCGGGGGGGGGCGGGGCGGAGAGGGAACATACGGGCTGGCTGCCTACTTGCATTCCGCTAGGACACTGAAAACCCAGAAAACAAAACAGACAGTAAACTACCCTTGTTTCTTATGTATCTCAGTGCAGAGACGGGGGTGGAGGGCAGAGAGAGGGGGAGACCAGGCTGAAGGAGGAGGAGCGGAGGGACAGGGGACGCTAAGGGGGAAGCACACCAAATCCATTAGTACTATATATAGAGATACTCGTATATACTGCGTTTCTTAGCCTAAGAAGAAACTTGTTTGACGGGACGGGCGGCCTTTGCGGTCCGCGATGCTGGTGCTGGTCGGGCGCACGGATCTCCCGGGAGGGGCCGAAGCGGGGCTGGCCCAGGCTGGCTTGGGGGAGGGAGGGGGGCGCCCCGAGGGTGGGTGGGTGGGGGGAGCAGAGGCGGGGCTGGGGTACCCCTCGGGCTCTCGATTGGGGGACGAAATTTCTCGTGACTTTATTGCTCCTTTATTTTCTCTCGTGTGGGGGGTCCGTTCAGCACGGTCGGGGTGAGGAAATGGTGGGTCGTCTGAGCCACCCGGCCCCTCTGGGACCCAGAGCGCGGCGTCCGCTCCGCCAGCACGGGGGTGAGAACAAGGCACTAGGTCGGCCGGCCAGCGCGGGGGCGGGTGTGTAAGGCAGTCGACGGGGCTGGTTGCAGGGTGGGGTGGGGCTGTGTGCGGGGCCGTGTGCGTGCGTGCGTGCGGGCGCGGGCCTGGGCGAATCGACCTGTCAGCTTGGCTGGTCCTGTCCTGGAGCTTCGAGCCTTCCTCGTGCTCCCCGGTGGGTGACGGGGGTAGGGGTAGGGGTGGAAGGAGTGATGTTGAGTCGGGGGCGCCGGGGGAAAAGGGGGGGTAACTACCAACTTGCTGAGCGCGCTCCTGATAATGCTGGTGAGGGTCAAGTTGGCGTCTGGCTCAAAGAAGGGCGCTCGGGGCGGAGAGGGAGGGAGGGAGGGGACGTTTGTTCGTTGGCATTGACCTCTGCGGGGGAGGGGCTGGGGACCCCCCCGCCGCGCCCCCGTGCCCGGACGGGGATGAGGCGAGGAGGGGGCGCTGGGCCCTGGGGAGGGGGCGCCCGGGGAGACCCGCGGCCAGAGCAGCCCAGCCGCCGGGCGTATGCCGCTGTCCCGTTCCGTTAAACTCAACAAAGAAGGGATATGCGTGTTCCTAACAAGTGCAGGATATTTAATTGATTCATAAACTTATGTATAATAGTTTGTGGGTTTTTTTTAAAACGTACTTTATAATGTAAGAAGCACCAGGGTTTTTATGTTGAATTATCTTAAAAATAATTTTCTCTCGTCCTTTTCCTTTTTGATCTTGTGGTTTTTTGTTTTTTTTTTAATGTCCAGGTGTTTTTTTTTTTTTAACTCTAAAATGTGAACGTTTCCTTCAGCCCTCCCACCGAAACCGAGAACGAACGACGAAACAAATAAAAACCCCAGATCATCCTCGTCAACGCAGGAAAACGACTTAAAAAAACAAAAAAAAAAAAACAAAAAAAAAAAAAAAAAAAAAAAAAAGGGAAAAAAAAAAAAAAAAGGAAAAAACACTCAGCTTTCGTTATCCCCGCGCAGGGCGGGGCAGGCCCAGTTCTTTTAGCGTCCCCAGAGCCGCGAGGACATTACAACAAAAATAGAATTTTTCTTAACAATCTCTTAACATACAAAGATAGGAAAACTCTCTGATGCATTGCACTTGGTTCAATGAAAAAAAGTTCATTTCCCCCATATATATTTTTTGTGGGTTTTTTTTTTTTTCTCTTCTAACACGTCCCCACATCTCCTGTCGCCCTCGTCGCCCCTCGCCTGCCCCCTCACAACGACACTTGGGAAAGGAGCGGCCCCCACCCCCCTGCCCGCCCCGGCAGCCCCGCCGGGCGCGCTCCCGCCCCGGCCCAGCTGGCCTGCAGCTTCCGACCTCGCCCGGGCGGGCGCCCCGCAGACCCGGGCTCCCGCGGGCCCAGCGCGCCCGCGGCCCCGATTGTCTTCGAGGGAAGGGGCGCGTGCGGCCGGGCAGGGGGTCCCTTCCGCTCCCCTCTCAGCTCTGACCCTGTTTAGCCAACCAAACTGAAAAATCATTGCACTTTGACCGCGCGTCACGCCCGGCCCCCCCGGCCCCCCACCCCCCCGCCCTACTCCCCACGCCCCACCCCCCCAGGCTCCCGCGGGATCCCCTATCCCCTGCTTCTCAGTCCCGGTCTTCCCCAGGGGCTGCACGCAGACAGGGGAGGGCCTTCGCTCAACTTCCAACAAAAGCCACTGCTGGGGCCAGCCACCTGGCGGCTTCCGGGTGAGGAGGCACCACTCGCCGGCCCCTTCAGGCCCAGGTCAGGGCCCTCTTCGCCTCCCCAGCCAGCTGCCTCCCCTCCTTCCTTCCCTCCCTCCCTGCTGGGGCCACAGCCTCACAAACTAGATTCACAATAAATAAAGCCCACAACCCACCCCTACGGTGCAATGTTGGGTTGACTGACTTTCAGAGGATCCTGACCTGTGCTTTGTGTTTTCATACAGTTAAGAAAGAGAGAGAGAGGCACAAGGACTCCAGAGGGGGGCCGAGGAAGGGAGATGCAGGGAGGAGGGAGTAAGGCACAGAAAGACAAGCCAGAGGGGCCAAGTCACACCCTGGAGGGGGGCTGGGCATGCTCTTGCTTCCCTCCCTCCCAGGGGGCTTCGGAAGACCCTCTGGACAGGTCCCCAACCATCCCTTGGTGGGGGAGGAAGGGGCTGCAGGGGGAGGGGGAAGAGCTACTTCCTGTGGTGTGTTACCAAATTGTCCCCAAGTTGCTCAAATGGAGGAGTTCCCAGTTGCGACGGCAAAAGACCCAAACAATGAATGCCCCACCCCTAAAGAAAGAGTAAAGACATTACAGCTGAAATCCAGAGAGAAGTGGCCAAGAGGCCCATATGGTGGAGAAAATGGGGTTGGGGGGACAGAGAAAGCTCCAAAAAAACTTGTGAAAAAGGACAACACCCAACACCCTCCAAAGGAACTGAAAGTCGGCGAGCAGGACGCCTACCTAGCGCAGGTGGGCGGCTTAGCCAGTGGCAGCGGCGGCTGCCTCGTCCTCCTCGCTCGGCTCCGGGGTCCCCTTTCTGCTCCACTCTCCGGCCCGGCCACAGCAGGGCTGTCTGTGTGAGGGGCAGGGGCAGGGACCGGTGGGGCGGAGCGAGGGCACCTGCATGCGGGGCTGGGGTGAGGGGGCGACCCTGGGGCCCACCTCCCCTCACTCGTGGCGCGGCGAGAGAGTGATTTTCCCGGCCTGCAGAGGGCAGGAAGAGGGGGCCTGTCCCAGGCTGGGACGGGCTGTCGTAGCATTCCGACTTTTTCCTATGGACTGTACAGAGGGGTCTGGGGCCCTGAAACTAACCCCGAAGCTCAGGGTGGGGTGACAGGACACCCTCCATTGCAGGAGCAAGAAACTAGCTCCAGGGGCCTCTCCCTGCCCCCGCCCCAGGGGCTTGTAGCCCGAAGGTAGGGCAGGGAAACCAGGAAGGCACCGGCCTCACCTAGTCCAGAGCAGCTTGGGGAAGAAGCCAGAGGCCAAGGCGGGGGGGGGGGGGGGGGGGGGGGTAGACAGGCAGGGAGGGGGCGGAGTCCGGAGGGAGAAACCCTCTGGATCTGCCCCCCATCATTTGTACAAGCTTGTCCTCCAGGCTCCCTAGTGAAGCTCCGGCCCGAGTTGGGGGTGGGGTTCCCCTAAGAAGGGTGAGGGTGGAGGACAGGCCCCTTTAGAACTGTGCTGGTTTCTTTGTTGGGTTGATTTTGTTCCTTCCCCGGAAGGTCGGGGCGGGGTAGGGAGGGGAGAAAGGCAGTTCTGCTGCATCCTTTCTTTCTTTCTGTCCTCTACTTAACAGAGTCCGTTTGCATGTTTCTTTCTGCTTGGCTGCTGGTGCACAGCTCCCCCAAGACCTCTTCCGAGGGCTCTCCGAGAACTGGGCTGCTTCTGGGGGCCTGCAGGGCTCCCCGGGCTGGAGGAGAGAAGGGCTGAGTGGCTGACGACGTCTAATTTTTGCTTTTCGGTGGGGCTGGGCTGGGGGATTTTTTCCACGTCTCAAAATTTCTTCTCCCCCCGTTTGAGGAACCTCTTCTTAACATTTTGTCATTTCTTTTTGTCGATCTTATCAGAGGAACCAGGACTGAAATGGGACAAAAAGAGGCCGTATTGAGAATAGCAGGGGCGAGTCTCTTCTGCACCCACCTGGTCCGCAGACCGTAGGCTGGAGCCCAAGGCCCCTGGAGGGACCACCTCCAGCAGAGCCAAGGACACCAACACCCCACGAAGAGGTACATCCCCCTTCTGTCGGTAACTCCTATGGGAATCCTGTCGCCCCCAAGAGACCCTGCCCCCCAGTGCTAGGGTCCAGCTGGCCTTCCCGTGGGCACTGTGCCCAGCGGGTGGGACCCCCATGGCTGGAGCTGGCACAGGCACAGACCTGGGATCTGGCCATGTTTCCAATTGTTTAGGTTTTTGTATGGGTCCTGCAGGGTGGGGAGGATGCCAGGCTGGAGCTTTTGTCCCCAGAGGGGTTTTGGGAGTGGGGTGGGGGAGGCTCAGCTTCTTGCTGAGTTTTCTTTCTGTCTCTTTAGATTAAAAGCAGAAATTCCCGTCTGTACTCCCCAGCCAAGGTCCCACAGGCTGAAAGGCTGGGGGGGGGGGACCAGCACATGGCTTCAGTCCCTAGCAGTCCATGGCCTGGGGGAGGGGCCCCATAGCCCACTGTGCTTGATCCTCTACCCTGGGGCACCTGGCGCAGGGGGAAGGACCCGAGTCTCCCTGGGGCGTGAGGCGCTTCCCTCAGGGTGCCAGCAGGGGGAGCCGCCTTCCCACAAACCAGTCTCGGTGGCTCCTCATCACAAAATACACCTGACCCGGAGGCTGGGCGGCCTGGCAATGCCCTCCATCAAAGGCTCCGGCCCCACCTTGTGGCCAAGGGGTGGCGGGGGAGGGGAGAGAAGGGAGCTGTTCTCCTCTCCAGTCTACAGGACCTGTGCAGACCTACTAGTACCCTTGGGGCCAGAAAAGGGTCCCTGAAAACGTATTTCGGGACATCTCCCAGGCTCTGGGTCACAGATCTGAAATGCCCAGCAGGGCTAACCACAGAGCTGGCACTGGGTAGTAACCCATCCTACCCGTGCTCCAAGCCCACACAGAGCCGGGTGGGGAGAGTGGGGCTGGCCTGACCGAGGCTACATGGTCTGCCCTCATAGCCCAGCCAGGACTCGGACACGGGGGAAGGTTCCAAGTCGATGTTCCTACCCGCCACATGTGGCATGCTCTCAGGGAGCCCAGGGCCAAGGCTGCCACACCAGAGTGAGGCCCCCGGGGCAGCAAGATCAACCAGCTTTTCAAAAGAAGCCAGAAGTCCTGACGGCATCGCATGTGAAAGCTGTCAGTGTTTAAAACCACTTGTTTAAGCTGCACAGATTATGCCCGCTGGCTGGACCCGCCCCTCAGGCTCTGGTCTGGGACCACGGGCAGTCTTCTACTGAGGGATGTTGTAGTGTTTAAAAGGGCCTGGAAGATTACCTAGAACCTTCTTCAACAATGGAAACGTTCCCTGTTTGCCCTATCCAGTGTGGTAGCCACGAGCCACATGTGGCATCTCAGCAAGTGAAATGTGGCTGCCGTTACTGAGGACTAGTTTTCTCTAGTAGGTTATTTACATTTTTTTTTTTAATTCGAGATAGAGCATGCGCACAGGCAGAGGGAGAGGGAGAGGGAGAAGCAGACCCCCCCACACCCCCGCTGAGCAGGGAGCCTGATGTGAGACTTGATCCTAGGAACCTGGGATCACGACCTGAGCCGAAGGCAGACGCTAAATGGCTGAGCCACCCAGGTGCCCCTCTAGTTTGTTATTTAATTTGAACTTCAACAGCCACACATGGCCAGCACCTGCCCCACTGGATGGTGCAGATGGAGGGCATTTGGAAGAATGGGGGCTTGGGGTTGTCACAATGACTGGGTGCTGCTGGCATTTACTGGGTGGGCAGAGATGCCCAACTTCCTGCCACGTGCCGGCCCACACCCAGAGACCTGCCCTCCTGTGGCGGAGCTCCTGGAGGAACTGCCCAAGGTCCAACCCCATCAACTAACTACAGGTCTTTAAAGGGAGGCTCGCGGGATACCTGGCACTGCACGGGGGAAACCCAGGCCGAAGGCACCCCGAGTTCAGCAGGAGCGGAGTCAGCGGCCAGCCGCTAGGCTTCCAGTCCTGGCCTGAGAAGGGAGCCGCCTGGGAGAGCCCCTATCCCTGGGGTCTAAGGCCTCCGTGTTCTCTGGGACCCCCTTCCCAAGGGGAGACAACACAGGAACCCTTAGAGCACCGCTGTGGAAGCCTGGCCCGCCCCCTCCCTGTAAGGGAAAGGAGGCAGGTGACAACGGGGACATGGAGAGCCCGCTTGGCCCCTCTTTGTCGGACCAAGCCAAGGCGCCAGGCTGGTTCCCTTGGAGCTGCACGGGAGGGGGAAAACCACCAGTGCTCAGATTGGGAAGCCCCTTCCGCGCCCCCCCACCCCGCCCCACAGACCAGGAAGACCTCAGTTCAAGGCCTGGAGTTTCAGACAAAGGTGGTTCCAGGATAGCTCCCTAGCGCCTCCCCACAGGTCGGGGGGGGGGGGGGCTTTTTCTGCTCACCCTTTCTGCTTCCTGAGCCAGGTCCAAAACTGATTAAAACTAAGTAAAAAGCGCTGTCCAGGGAATGACAAAATTGCTAAAATTCTCTTTTCTTCCCTCATTCTATTGTTCTCTCTCCATCTGGTGCTCCCGAGATCAGCTAAAGTCACTGGTTACTGTGGAAACCGCCCCCCACTGTACCCCCTGCGCCCGCTGCAGCCGCCTGCCTGCCCCCAGGCCCAAGGGCTCTCGGCTGTGTGGGCCTTGTCCGGCTCTAGTCTCCCCCACCATCACCCCCAGACACACCTGCCTGCTGGGGCCCGGGGCTCAGGCTGCTTTGCAAAACAAGGGGGAGAAAAACTGTTTCCCAAACTTGCCTCAAAGTCTGCCTTGGCCCCAAAGTCCAAGCAAAGTGAGCAGAGAAAGTGAAGAAGGGAAAGCACACGGAGGCAGGCGGAAACAGGGTGAGCAGGTAGGACTCCCGGCAGTGGTCCCCAAGAGCAAGCCAGCAACGGGCAGCTCAGAGCTACAGGCGCTGGGGCAGAGGGAGGGAGGGAGGGAGAGAGGGCGGGCGGGCAGGAGCGATGGAGCCCTGCCGCCTGGTGCCAGCCCAGAGCCAGGAGGGGAGGCCCGCCTGCTGTCCCTTCCTCTGGCACCCCCTCCCGCCCTCTGCCAGCAGGGCTCTCTCGGCCTCCCTGGCACAGAGCAGCGGAGGGGGCTGGCTCCAGCCCCTGCTCAGAGCCATTGTTTTTCTTCTCAACACCCCCAAGTTCAAGTTCATCTGGGTGTTACATCATGTCTGGTTGCTCCTGGAAACCAGACGGGTCAGACGTGACTCTGGGGAAAGGGGGTGGGAAGCTGGAGGGGGTTGAAGTTCCCCTCCCCTCCCCTCCTTGCCACTAGGGAGCTCTGAAGTTTGAAGTTTGACAAAGTTTTTTGGCTTTTTTTTTTTTTTTTTTTTTTGAGGGAGGGAAAGGAAAAGGGAAAAAAAAAAACAAAACCTCAAACCACACACACAAAACTTCCATCCACCGACTTTCTCTGGACTCAGGCCTCAGAGCAGTAAAGGAGCAGGAGCAGCAAGAGGTGGCCCTGGGGCTCTGGGCTGGGGTGGATTTCCTGGGGCGGAGAAAAAGCCTCCAGGCCTTGGGCTCACAGGGTGGTGTTTTGGTAAAATGTGCAAAAGAGAAAGATTATTTGCATGTTCCTTTCCGAGAAGCCTGGGGCTTTGTAAAACCGGCCTCCACCCTGCTCCTGAGGTGGGTCTTCCCCAAACCCCAAGGCCCCGGGGCTTTGTGAGCTAGTCGCAGCCTCTGGGGGACAGGCACAGGGAGGAGGGGGCCCACGTGCGTGCGAGAGCACAGATGCCTGTACAAAACCAGATCCAGGGCATTCCAGCAGGAGGGCTGGAGTTTTCCTTGTGAGAACTGGGGACGGGCGGGAGCTGGACTGGAGGTTCCAACAGCCCGGCCTCCCCTCTAACGGGATTCATGGGGACCTGAGGGAGGGGCCTCCAGGGTGGCAACAGGCCCTGCCCTACCCTGGGTGCCAGAGTCTCTGGGCAATTAGCCCACCAGGACGGCTCTGTCCCTCCTCCACCCCTTGCCCAGCCCACCCAAAGCCAAGGAAGAAGGGGAGGGCTGGGGGCCAGGGCTTCCAGCTGGAGAGGGAGGAGAGCAACAGGCAGACGCTGTCCTCTTCCTGACGGGGCCTCGGGCTACCACCAGGCCTGGCCCAGAGCGCCTCTAGCCTCAGGTCTTTGGCCGCCTTCCCCAGGGCCGGGGCTGTCAGAGCTAATTATCCAATTAGCTGATTAGCTAGGGGACCTGGGGGCTGCCTGGGGAGGCAGGCTCAGCTGGGCTTGCAAAAGCCTGGGCCCTCCAGCCCTGCCGTAGCCCCTTCTCCCGGATTGGCCTCAAGGAGCCAGCGTCTTCCCTCACGCCCATGATGCCCCCGCCCCTGCCTCTTCCCCCTGCGCCCACATCCACATCGCGGGTGGAGCCTCCTACCTGAGACTGCTGTGGGATGTTCAGAAAGTTGCCGTCCCGGGGTCCGATGCTGACAAACCGGTTGGCAGAGGAGGCGCCTGTCGTTGCGAATGCTGTGGGGAGCAGGGAAGAGAGGGAGAGACCCCGTGAGGCCTTGGGGCCTGCCTGGGCACTGCCCTTCGGGGCTGCTGAGAGAGGGAGAGACTGGATTAGACCATGCTGCCAGGGCTTAGGCTGGCAGTGGGAAGGACAGGCCAGAGGGGTCCCATCACCTGCTCACTGACCAGGAGCACACACTGTCCCCCACCCCTAGCATTCCACCTCAGCCAGATGTCCTCTCTCCTGGCCCAGAGTGTGGGAGGGGCCCTGGAGGCTTTAGCTGAGGTCCCATAGACCCTGTTGTGTCCCCAAAGCAGGCACCGAGTAGGTCTGAGGCTAGCCCCCATTGAAGCAAGGCACCCTTGCTTTCCCACGGACTCTCTTGGGTCTTGGGAAGAGGGAGCCTGGGAGGGCGGGATGCTGGGGGCTCAGCTGGACCGGCCCCACCCTGCTCAGGGAAGGCCGGCTCAGCCAGGCCTCCTCTCCAACCAGGGCAGCTAGGCTGGTGCTGCATCACAGAACCACGCTGGGTAGTCCCAAGGATGGGGCTGATGGCTCAGGGAACTTGCAGGGGTCCAGTGGAGGGCTGAGTTGGATGGGACAGGGGCAGAGAGAGGAGCTGGCTGCCAGCTTGGACCCAGCAGGCGTCCTCCTCCTCTGATGCATGAGCCAGAGCCTATGGTACCGCGGTCGCCAGGGCCTGACACAGGCCAAAGCACAGGAGGAGGTGGCAGAGCCCCAGGGCTTGGGGGCCCATGAGCAGTTCTGGAGCCTGAGGGACAAACAGGCAGCCCAACACCCCTGAGCTCTTCTCAGGTTTTCTGGCTGGAACCCTATGGGAGGGAATGGGTTGTGCACCCCCAGCAGGGTGGATGTCCCCAGAAGGAACAAGAGTGTCACAGGCTGCCAGGGATTCCCCCCACACACACCCTCTACCAGATACACCCCAGGGACTGCATGCTCACCAGATACTGTCCAGGGCCCCCCCACCCAAGCCACTCTGCCGCCTGGCGCCTCCTCCCCCACCCTGCCCACCTCCAATGACCATGACCATGACTTCGTGTCTTATGGCGGATGCAGATGGGAAGGAAGATGGCATGAAGAGGATGGAGAGGGGAAAAGAACTCAAACCATGAGAAAGAAGGCAACAAAGAGCGCGAGACGGAAGAAAGTGAGATGGGCCGCCCCTCCCACTGCGGACCAGGCAGTCCTGGCCTGGGGTCTGCCGGCCCCCACAGCGCCCACCCTCTGCCCGCAGACGGCACACCGCCCACCCTCCACCTCTCCTGTCCTTCACACGTCGGGTCTACCTTGGGCCTCTCAACTCAGATTTTTCTTTTCCCTTTAACAAAATTTGTCATTGGTTAAAAGAGAGAGAGAGAGGAAGAGAAAGAGATGAAGTAAGCCGAGGCCCAGAGCCCTCCCTTGTCCTTGGAACAGTCAACCTGGGAAAGGGAGAGGGATGGGAGGAGGAAAAAAAAAAGAAAAAAGAAAAAAAAAAAAAGAGGAACAACGAGAAACCAAATGTGAGATTGAAGGGGAGAAGGTCAGGGGCCGGCCTGCTGTACAGTTAGAGGCCCAAGGGCCCCAGAATGGAGGTGAGGGGGCAAGGCCAAAAGGGGATGGTGGTGGCGTCACCTTGTGGTCACATTTAATTTTTTTTGGTGTAGCGGGGCACAACGAAACAACAAAAATCAAAAAACAAAAAAACGAAAAATGAAAAAAAACAGCAATCAGGCATGAAGATGGCATGGCTGCGCCTCCCCGCCCCCCTCCCACCCTGGCCAGCACCCCTGGCCTGCGTGCCCCACTGTGCTCCCCCTCCCGCCCCGGGGAGGGGCCTGGGCCAGGGGCCCCCCGGCTAGGAGCCGCGGGTGGGCAGGGGGGCTCGTGGGGTGCTGGCTGGTGCAACTGAGGCCCCGGAGGCCGTGACTGGGGGCTCAGCTCTGCTCTTGTCCGGGTGGGAGGCTCCATGGCGCTCTGGGTTGGGGGGCTCTGGCGGTGGGCGGGGCAGGGGTTTTTCTTTTTGCCGTGGAGACTGTTTGGATGGGCCAGGGATGCTGGGCGTTGTGGTTTCGGTTTCATCGTCCACTTACAAGGTGATGGAGGAGTCAAGGCGGCGCCGTCTGGGGCAGTGCTGGTGGATTTGGAATCAGGCATAGGAAGGGGCACAGGTCTGGCCACTGGAGGCGGCGGCGGTAGCAAAAATGACCCCGGGACTTTGCCCTGGCCGCTACCGTTGGGCTGCGAACAACATAAATAGAGTGACGCATGAAGGCACATCCCACACAGACACACGCTCCCCTGCGCGGCCACGCCAGCTCGCTCCTGAGAGCGGGCGCTCCCGGTGGAAGATGCAGGACGGGGTCGTCTCCTCCGGGGCACGGGGTGGGTGAGGGTGTGAGGCTTCTATTTGGTCTCTCAGGTGTTTCTCTCTCTCTTTTTTTTTTTTTTTTTTTTTTTTTTTTTTGTGGTCCTCTTTTGAAGTTGTGGGAGGGACGAAAGGGGGTGTCCGATGAGTGGTTTGTTATTTCTTAGGGAACATGTTTTAGGTACCAAAACATGCCATCTCGCCACCTAAGCAGCTGCCCCTAGCATGCTCGTGCTCTTGGAAGACCTGCCTCAGCAGGTAAGATGCGCCAGCTCACCCCCCACCGTCCCCGAAAACACACGCAGGCCTCCCCTCTGCGGGCCCCTGGGGTGGGGCTGGCCGACCCAGCCAAGGACCACAGGCCCTCGGGCGTCTACCCCGCATCACAGCCCAGGGAGACGCCGCGTGCTGGGGGTCTTGTCCTGAACTCCGGCAGCCTGAGGATCGTGGGTTGCCGGCCCATTTTCTACAGAACGGCCCAAGAGGAAAATCCATCGCTGCCAGCCGCAGTCCCGAGGCTCTTGGAGAGGACTTCCCTGTACGGGGCCCTCCGAAGCCTGGGAACCTGGCCGCCAGCTCCATTGCTTGGCTCTATTCCCTCTTCTGCCTCAAACTTGAATCTCCTCCCTAAGGCCCGTGTACGCCTTGTGCACATCAGCCTTTGGGATTCGGGGACGGAGGCCCCACAGGGAGGGGCAGAGGTCCCTGGCCTCTTGCAGGCACAGCTTCCTGGAGCTCTGGGCAGCGCTCTCGATGACCACCTGCAGCCTGGGCTCAGGGTGGGGGGCTAGAGCTCTGCGTCCTAAACGGTCCCCTCTCCCAAGGGGCAGAGCTCTGCCCCCCCAGCCACCCAGGTGCAAGGCTCAAGGAGGCTCCCGTGCTGCCCCTTCTGTTGGTGGGCAAACCCCCCGGAGTCCACCCCCTTGATGTCTCCAGCCGACCCAACCTCTATCCTCACTGGTTCCACTGGACTAGGACCACGAGACTCCCAAGGGGTCTCCCCTGTGCTAACAGTGTCCTCTAAGGACACTCAGCGTCTCGGCGCCCGGCTCCGTACCACGTACTTTACCCAGGTGGTGACGATGCTCCCCCAACCCCACCCACCGTGAGGCAGCAGTTTTCGCCTGGGCTGGGGGTGACATGGTGGATTCTGCCCCGGCAGGGGGCATTAACAACGTCTGAAGACATGTTGGGTAGCACCACTTCTGGGGGTGCTGCTGGCATCTGGGGTGGGGCGGAGTCCAGGGATGCTGCTAGACACCCCACAAGGCACGAGATGGCCCCCAGGATAAAGGCCCAACAATCCAAACGTTACTAGTGCCGTGGCTGGGAAACCCTGATTCAAGGGAAACTTGATTCTCCCCCCTTGCACAACTGGGGAAACTGAGGCTCTGCAGCTGAGTGGTTTATACAAAGTCACCCAGCTGTGACTGGTAAGGCCGGAAATTCACAACCATGTCTCTCTCACTCCAGGATCCTGGGGATTTTTTCCAGTGGGCTCATCCCACCTCTCATCCCAAAATCCAAAAGCACTCAGGCTACTGCCCTCCCCTCCCACAGATGTGACTGCGTGTAACATCAAATACGAGCCCCTGGTTGGGCATTCAAGGCCCCTGTGGTGGAACCCAGATGGGGTCTTCCACCATTCATGCCTCTACGTTCACCTCCTCCCAAGTACTTCCCACTGCAAACAAACTGGAGTTTCCAGAACATAGCCTAAGCAGTTGGGGGCTGTACCCGTGCTCACTGCAGAACCCTCTGTCTACAACACCCCTTCCCACACCCCTTAAGTCCGGCTCAGAAAACACCATCCCCAACCTGGGACCAGCCAGATACCCTAAATCACCATCCATCTCTCTCTCTGCCTTTTTTTCCTAGGATGGTCGTGACCTCCACCGTAGCCTTTGAAGCAGGCTGCCTCCCAAGCTCCCCAGCAAGCCCGGGGACAGCCACCTCTGTGTGGCCCAGACATGCTGCACTTTCAAAACATCGAGCCCCATGTCTGACCTGTGCCGGCCACACCCTTCTGAGTTCTGGCCACCAACTCCCATCACCGCTAAAGACCAGCACCTAGGTCTGACATTGTCTCTCCAAATGGTTCCCTTGACTTGCTCTTTCCTGCCCACTCAGAGGTTCTCTGGCAAAAGCAGGCAGGGGCTGCTGATCTCTGCGTCCTGCGCCCTTTGTGCCAGGTGCCCTTTCAGAAATAGGCAACTGCCTTCCTCCAGCAGGGCAGGGAACGCAAGCCTCGAGAGATCACAGCCTCACTCCTTTATTCTGCGCCATCCTGTGCTTGCCGCCCCTCTCTCCAGGGGCTGGGACCCATGGCCCTCCGGGTAGCCCTTGCTCCTACAGGGTGCCCTGCGCCTCCTTCTAGTCCTCAAGACCCTGTCTCCCCTCAGGAGGACCTAAATCACTCATCGCTCTTGATGAAGCCAATCCCAGCCCGACACGGCCAGACATCGAACACCGCTGATGTACAACATTTAGTTTCTGGAAGCTAATTCCAACCAGGCTACGGTATCTCAGCTCTGATTGGAGTTCAAGTTGAGGTTTTAAAAATCTCGAGGTCTTGTGATTTTGCGGTGCCATGAAACCTCACGAGTTAAAAGCTAGAAGGAACCTGGAGATGGGATAGCTCTTCACTTTCAACAGACAGATGAAGACGAGGCCTGGCGGCTCCAGCGCTGATGCCTGAGGCTGACCTACAACCGGTCTTTCTGCCTCCCGGGGTCACGCTATCCCATCGGGCCCTGTGACTTCTCCATCGGTTCACTTGGTGGCCTCTTCTCTCTGCCAGAAACACAGCTAACCAGGCATCCTCCTGCCCTTTGCGCCTCCTCTGAGTGGCATGTCCACTTGGCCTTGGCCTTTACCGATCTGGCTCCTCTCAAGTAGGGCCTCTTGCTGTAGTCCGAGGATGAGCACGGGGCTGGTGCCTGGAAACCCTTTTGCAAATCGTAAAAATTTTGTATGTGTACTTTTTTCTTTCTGCGAAGATGCTCTGTAACTTCACATTCTCAAAGAGGTTAGGAATTTACTCCTTCAGGCTTTAGATCAATGGTTCTCAAAGTGGGTCACCCGACCAGAAACAGCATCGGCTGGGAACTTGGGGGGAAATGCAGATTCTCGGCCCCACCCAGGTCTGGGGAATCAGAATCAGGTGAGGCCCAGGCACCTGTGTGTTAGCGAGCCTTCCAGGTGATTCGTGCATGCTAAGGCTGAGAACCTCTGCTCTGGAGGCAGCCACGGACCCAGAGCAGCCTGGTACTGCCATTGCCGGTCACCAGGTCAGCTGCAGAGCCTGGGGCCTCTGGCTCACTCCTCCAGAGCCGGCAGCCAAGCCCCAGAGAGCAGGCTCACTGAAGACACGCCCTTCTCTCTGGGCACAACAGGCCAGGAGAGGAAACCCAGAGACTGCTCCCCAGCTGGGCTAGGCTCTTCTGTTTAACCAGACTGCCTGCTCGCCCTCCTGCCTGCAGTGTTTTATCCACGGTCTACTCGGAGCAAGCATCTGCCTTCTGGACCAGACGAGCCCTTAATCTTGAACGCTCAAGTCAAGGGAGAGGTTCAGGACCCAGGCATCATCAGGAGGCTTAAGGACAGACTGACCCATACTCCCGAGGATCCTGTGCATTCGCTTTGGTTCTTTGGGCTAAACTGGCCCCTCAGGTCAGTCTCATTTTGGTTCCAAACCCCAGCTGCCTCTGTGGGTGAGAAGGCAGGCAAGGTGGGGCTCCCGGACTCTCTGATCCATATTCCAGACCCCAGGGCCCTTGGGCGCTGGGACATGGGCTTGTAGCTCCCGTAGACTCTGCTGTCATCTCTGAAGGAACCGTAGTAGCTATCGAGGGTCATGGCCACTTCCCACTCCATGCCCCTAAAAGTGGACAGAGCTTGTCCAGAGAGGTGGGCAAGGCTCTGAGTGAGCTAAGGGGCTGCAGAGCCAGCGAGAGAGAACCTCATAGGGAAAAGGAGACGAGGAAAGTAGAAGGAGGGAGAACAGGAGAGAGGGAAGAGGACCGGCTTCCATTCTGGACAGCAAGAGCGAGGAGGCTGAGCCATAACCCTGCCCCAAATCAATGCACCAGCACTTAGCAAATGCCCATTCTGTACAGGCCGCCCTGAGGCAGCACTGGGCTGTGTGGCCAAGGGCCGCCCACCGCTCTCCCTGGGTCACCTCTGGCATGGGGTTCCGAACGCCTCTCCCCACCACGGCCCTTTGAGCGACCTGCCCCCGACTTCTCACAACGGGTTTCCAGGCTGGACCAGCTGCGGAAAGAGGGACTGGACCTTCTCACAGCGCCGTGTGCTGCTGGGACTTTAGAACCTTCCCAGAGGCCTAGAGACCGCCCTGTCCCAACCCGAGTGCTCTCCCAGGGACTAAGAGAGGACCACTGTCCCACTGAAGGGTCACCTCTGGCCCACCACTGTCTGGGATAAGCCCTTTGCTGAGTGGCCTATGTTTCTGCTCATCAGGGCCTGGGCCCTAGAGCTTGCTGACAGAGAAGGGCAGTGGGGCAGCAGAACTCCATGGGCAACCAGCATCTCTCCTAGGCTGAGGAGCAGAAGGGCTTCCCTCCAGAATAAAAACAGACCTGGGAACCTCTTGCTAAGAGTTCTGCCAACAGGAGACTCCATGACAGCTCGAGGGGAAGGAGGGAGGGCCTTTGCTCCACCCAGGGCTTCTCAGGGAATGGTGATGCCCCCAGGGCACGCTGAACTCTGGAAATATCCTTGGTCATCAGGACTGGGAGTGATGGTGCAGCTGCCATTGAGTGGGTGGGGACCGCGGATGCTGCCTACTACCCCACAGTGCCGGGGACGGCCCCGCAGAACAGAGAATGGACAGCCCAGATGTCAATAGTGCCAAGGCGAGTAACTCTCGGTCTAGCACCTACACACTCCTTGTAGCCCTGAGGTTTTAAGAGGGGTGCTACGAGGTCAGGAGCCCAGGCTGGGTTGGATAGATCACGGACACACTCTTACGGGGGAACAGAGACTGAGGGGAGGGCAAGGAGCCCGAGCAAGAGCAAGGCGGGCCCGGCCACTGCCCTCGTCCCCAACTCTGGACGGTGACAGACAGGCCCTGACATTACACGTGGACCCCTACCCCCAGATCCAAAAGATGGAGGTGTTTGGCACTACCGGCCCTCTGCTGCCCCAGCCCTAGGAGGGCTCTTGGCTTTTGGACCCTCTCCCTGTGAGCCCCGAGACAGACGGACAGATGCAGAGATGAGCTGTGGCAGGGCTCCGGGGGCCTGTGGACTCACCTGTCCGGTGGCCTGGCCCGAGCCGTCCGAGCACACGAACTGCACAAACTCCTTCAGCGAGTCCTGCCCGTGGTGGTGGTGGTAGCGGATGGTCGGGTGCGTGAAGTACGGGCTCGACTGCTGGATGATGGACGTGGAGGGGAAGTGCAGCGCCGACGCCGTGGCCCGGGGGCTCCCTGCGCGCATGTGGGCAGGAAAAAGAGGGTGTCAGGGCTTAGGAGGCAGAGGGGGGCGCAATGGAAGATGGGGTTGGTTGGGTGGGGGGGATGCTGGTCAGACACAGCCCTGAGGAGCCAGAGGAAAAGGGAGAATGGGGTTAAGATCAAGGCCAGGACCAGGGTGAGGAGAATGAGGCACCGGCCTCTGGTGAGAAAGTTAAGGCAGCACCAGATAATTCGACAATCGACAATCGACAATCGAGGTAAGCAATGTCTTAACACAATACTTTCACAAGCCAGACCTGGGGAGCACCCGGATGGCTCAGTCGGTGAAGCACCAGACTCTTGATTTCGGCTCAGGTCATGACCTCAGGGTCGTGATCTCAGGGTTGTGACCCTGAGCCCCACACCTGGCGATGCACTCAGCGGGGAGTCAGCTGGAGATTGTCTCTCTCCCTTGGCCCCTTCCCACCAAACTAAGTAAATAAATCTTTTTTTTTTTTTTTTACTACTTTTTTAAAATAAAAAGTCAAATTAGCAAACCAGGGCTGGTCAGCCAGCTGCTGATCTTTGTAATCAAGTCTGATTAGAACCAGGGCTGGAGCTTGGGTGACATGAACACGGCAAGGCTGGGCAAGTGCAAGGCCAGCCCCATCTTTTGTTTAAAATGCTGATAGCTATTCCTCGCATGTTGTTTGCAACCGTTTCAATTATTACATTAAATATTATTTATCTTGATGACTAGGGTTTTGGGGCCTCCTGGGAGTCTGTCGTGGGGAGGGCCTCACCGGCTTCACCCTGGTCCAGGGCCTAGGGGTGAGTCTGGGGGAGGGACAGAAGGGACCAAGGGGTCCCAGGCTCTGGCTGGAGACAGGGCCCCGGCCCCTTTCCTGTGCAGGATGAGCCCTTGAAACACATACACCCGCTCCTGCACGCACAGGACTGTGGCTCTGGCCGCTGCCGCCCAGGCCGCGTTCCCGTGCGCTCAGCCCCGCGGTCCTTGCACACGCATCCTCCCCACACACAGCTCGCACCCCGGCGCCGGCCCCAGCTCTTCCCTGGGCCGAGTCCTCCCCCTCCAGTCTGTTTCCAATCAGCTCGCTCTTGCTCTCAGTTTCATTAGGGGGCTGAGGAAACTTGGCTTCTCTCTGGAGTTCATAAAAGCTGAGCGGAGCTGGGCCTGCTGCCCTCCTGCTGCCTGTGCAGAGAGGGCCTGGGGTCCCCGCCCCCACCTTGTGGCCACCACACCCTGCCCCAGCGCAGGCTGCCTCTGGGCTCTCAGCCAGGAGGCCCCGAGGAGGAAGCCGGGAGGGTAAACCTCACTCTTCTCTGTGTCCTACAGACAAGCCCACAAGACGGCAGGCAGGCAGAGAAAAAGTCCAGGCCTCTTTCTGCCAGAAGGGTACCAGGGGAGGGAAAAAGCAAATGAGGGAATGGGGAGGCTGAGGACTCAGCTCCTACCACTTCCTGCCGGATGCTGTCCCCTCAGGAACGCTGAGATGTCCCCCCCCACCCTGCCCCCACCAAGCACCCGCTCCCGAGACCAAAGCAAGAGAGCCCACCAAGGCAGTGGGCTTGCTCCTCTCCCTGGAGAAGAACCCAGGTGCTACCAGCCCCTGGGCCTAGCCCTTCACTTTTGGCAAAGGGCAGGGAGGGCCTGAGAAGGGAGCCTGGGCTCCCCTGAGTGCTCTTGTCAGTCTGTGCCCCACAGGGACCAACCCCGGTGCTGGGAAATCAGACCCCAGGCTCAGCCAGGAGCTAGGAGGGAAGAGGTGAAAGGAGGACAGAAGGAGAAGCCTTATGCTTTCCCGCCCACCACAGGCAGGAGGCAAGGAGAGGGGGCAGGAGCGGATCTGAGGCCTCTGTCACTGAAGGCAGGTCGGGGAGGGCCTTGAGACAGGCCCATGCTGCATAGCACACACAGGCGTGCGCGCAAGCACACACACATGCACCCATGCACAGATGTGCACATGGGGAGTGAGAAGCAAGTGGGAGGCTGCTTGGGAACAAGGTGAGGAGGGGCTGCCGGAGAGGAAGGGCCCACTCCCGTGCCCACCCTCCGCTGGACCGCCGCCTACTCAGAGAGCTTGGGGCTGTCACTCGGGCTGACACCCCAGCTCCTTAACCTGGCCAGCTGCCCCTAAGCGCTCCACCACCTCCCCCACTGCCCCCCGCCAGGCCCCCCATTTCTCACCTGGTCTGACTCCAGCAAGCACAGGCAGCGGGTGGTGAGTGAAAGCCATGCGCGGGGAGCTGCCCTGAGAGGAGAGGGCACTGCAGAAGTCCAGCTTTCCTGACTTCTTTAGAGAAGCCGGGCCTGGGGGGAGGAATCAGCAACACAGGGCAGGTTTAGCTGGGCCAGGGTGAGAGCAAGGGAAGGTGGGAAGCCAGCAGCCAGCTCCTCTCTCCTCTGCCCCCTCCCGGCTATCCCTTCCCCCACACACCCCCTTCCTGCCTCCTTTGCCCCATTCTGGCTCTGGTTCTTAGGCCCGGTGTGCCGCCTGGCCAGCTACAGGTGCTCTGACTGGAGAGCAAAACGAGACCCTTGGGTGCGCAGGGTAGGAGACGAGCAAGAGGGCCCGTCTTGCTCCCTGATGAGCAGATAATGAGCTCCTAGAGCACAGGATGAAAAGGTGGGATGCGGGGGCAGGGAGCGGGGAAGGTGTGCAGGAGGAGCCCCGGGGAGCCAGCTTCAGAGTGAGGGGCGACCCAGAAGAGCAATGGGCTGGGGTCTGCTCTGTGGGGCCCTGGACTGGGGGAGGCTCTGGTAGGAAGAAGCCACAGCCCTTGGGAGGGACTGCAGGGGTGATATAGCCCTGACGAGAGAGCAGGAGGACCTGGAGGGACCGGAAGACCTGGCTGGGCACTGAGGGCAGAGCGGGACAGGAAAGGAACCCCCTGCCAGGGGATCCAGAGGTTGGGCGGCTGCAGGATGGGTCATTTCGGGGCTTTGCTCTCCTCCTGGTGCCAGAGATGGGGTGGCATTCACTGGGACAGGGGCACAGAGTCCCCCCTGCCTTGCAGCTCTGTCTGAAGGATCCTGATGCTGCCAACCGAGTCATCTCTGCACCCCAAGAGCATGATGTCCCATGGAGGCTCTGACACAGCAGGGGCCCTGGGCCAGGTCCTCCAGGGGAGCTTGTCCCCTGTCCTAGGCTGAGGCTGGAAGGCTCAGATGGAGTGGAGCGGATGTGCCAAGCTGCTGCCGTCTTTCAGGCACAGACTCTGTCTGAGTGGGAGTGGGGGGGCTGCAGTCTTAACCGTGGAGGGAAGAGGTGGGGGAAGGGCGAACTCCCAGCCGCCAGCAGAGGTGTTATCTGGCGGCAGCTGTGTGCCACCTGATAGCTGGCACGGTGGGGGGGTGGGGAGCACCCCCACCAGCTGTGCACAGCTGTCCCCGTGGCCGCACAGCGCCTCCCCAGCTGTTCCCTGTCCTGCAGCTGGGCTGCTTAATTGGCGATTTGTCGCAGCGCGGGGAAACAACACCGCGGGGGTGGGGGGCGGAGGAAAAGAGGGGAAAGCAAGGGAGCTGGGGTGCTGCAGGAGGATGTCGGGGGGCCGTGCGTGGCAGGACTGCTGGAAGGAGCATAAATGGCAGGCACCAGAGCAGACGGCTGAGAAAAAAGAGTGGGAGCCAGAGGGGGACAGCTCCTTGGGCACCAGGTCAGGGCAGAGGGACCGGGAAGCTGAGCCCCAGGAGGCAGCTACAGATGCAGCTCTCAAGGCACTTGAGTCCTCCAGAGACAGTCACTTAACTGAGGCCCTGGCTGCAGAGTCTTCAAGGCCTTTTCAACCCCTTCTCTCTCTCCCAGAGAAGTATCTGGGCTGTGTCGACCCAGCTCCCTGCTTGCCACACAAAGCCCTGTGAGAGGCACCCAGAGACTGCCTGGAGAGCTGTTGCACAAAGGTGAGCTTTGCTCTTGGTCCACTCCCCCGGCCCAAAGTCTGGAGATGAGCTCTCCTCCGCTCGTCCCAGGGAGTTGAGAGTGGGTCCCTTGGACCACAGCAAAGCAGAAGCCCCTCCCCACCCCCCCGCCCCCGCCGCCTTGCTTTTCCTGAGCCCCTGCCTGGCCCATTTGCTTGGCCCATCTCTGTAGATGCACATCTGGAAAACACCAGGCAAAGCGACAGCAAGTCAGGCCTTCCTCTTCCTGCTTCCAGAGCAGAGCTCCCGTCCCCACGCCCAACCAGAGCATACAAGCCCTGTGTACAAGCCCTGCACACAGGGCTGCACCCCCCAGCGCTGCGACTCGCACCTCAGGGACACACGCAGGTTGTACCAGCCGTGTGCCCGGCCGGAGTAGCCCACAGCCAGCCTCTTCATGCGTGCATCGGGCATGCACACACACAAGCGGGAGCACACATGCGCACTCTCCCTCCTTCCCATCCGGGTTCTCTGGGTCTGCTCAGGCCTCCGGTCAAGACTGGAAGTGAAGGTGGGTGGGTTCACGGAGAAAGGGGCAGCTGGAGGGTACTGGGAGGACTGACCTGGCTTCCCTTAGACCTTTTGCCCTTCCCTAGCTTTCCCGCTTGATTGGACAATGATTTGGTCATCCTTTCCTAGACTCTGCTCCTCTCTGTGATTCCAGGGCCTTCAAACGAGTAGTTCTATTCACCTCTCCCCCACGCCAGAGGATATTCAGCGACATCCGGGGACGTTTTTGATCATTATACTTTGGGGAGGGGTGGGGACTTGCTGCTGGCAGGTGGCCGGAGGCCAGGGCTGGTGCTCAGTGCCCTCCAGTGCACAGGACGGCCCCACCTCAGAAAATGATGTGGCCCCACATGTCCATGGTGCCCAGACTGAGAAACCGCTTCACACCAGGGGACCACAGAGCTGGGGTGACCTCTCTAGAGAAATAGCAAGAGAAGGAAACAACGAGAGCTCGGGGCCTGGGGCCTCTGCTCTCCTTCCATCACACCCGTGGCCCTGCTGCCCATATAGGGACAGCCCAGCTCCTCGCCTCCACCCCTCCTTCGGCCTGGTCTGCCCTCCTCTGGAAGGTCAGGAGGCAAGAAGACAGGTAGCGCCACCACAGCAGGGGAACCGGAGGGAGGCTCGCCCGGTAAGCTGAGCAGGAAGAAGAGGCTCCGGCTGCCCTGCGCTGCGCCGGCCCTACAACGCCCATACCTGCGTCCACATCGTTGGGCCAGCCACTGGACTGGCTGCTGCCAGCTGCTGGGGAGCGGCCTGTACCAGGATAGAAGACATCATCGACAGGGCTCTCCATCTCACTGTCATCGATGGACTTGGGGCGCTTGGTGGTGCTGGGGAAGAGGAGAGGGATCAGGTAGGCCAAGGGAAGACTGAGCTACAGCTACTCGAGCCGAGGTTGCCTGGCACTCACTACGTGCCCACCCCGAGACCAGACCGGCCCTGGGAGTCCCTCGGGACCCAGCCCACCTGCTCCTCCTCCTTAAGCCCCTTCTCAGTCCATGACACCCTCATCCACTGAGCTGCTCAGGTCAAAGAGGGGGCAAAAGCCTCCTCCCTTGCTTCCCTGGCCCCGCCTTCTATTTCCCATCAACCCCCAGGGCCAGGGCGAGTTGAGAGGCACTTGCCAGGCACAAAAATCCCAAAGGGGTGCTACAAAACTCAGACATCAAGATACTAGGTTATTTTATATGAAGACAGTACTACTACGAAGCTACTATAGTATTACAGCATAATATTCTAACAAATTAAAGTGAATGCCAAAAACCTCACAATGAACCAGAAGTCCAAGTTTTTTTTTTTTTTTTTTTAAAGCACAGGATCCCTTCCTGCCCTGAACAACTGGCCCTGACAAAGGGTGACTGTGTCCACCCCCCAACACCTCTCAGCTCCATCCCTCCCTCTCACGCCTCTCCCCCACCCAGCTGAGGCGCCCCTCCACTCCAACCTCTAACTGGCCGTCATTCCTGCCCACACATGCTGTTGCAAGGGGCACTTTCTGGAACCCATATCCCCCGCATCTCCTGCTTCAAACCCTTCAGTGGGTTTTAAGTCTAAACATTTTCTAGAGCCCTCTTTGGGGGGTGGGGGTCCCACCTGGCTGTCCACCCTTGGCTGGGATGGGGGCTGCTCTACTTGGAGCCTCCATCCCAGGCCTGTCTGGGCTCAAATGTCACTTCCGCAAGAGAGAGGCCTTCTCAGATCCCCACTGGGAGTGCCCTCCAGGCAGACCCGTGCCTTGTTTAGGCACCAAGTGGCCAGCGACAGCACGCACGAAGCAGGAAGCTCAGGAGGTTGGTAGCTTGGCGGGCCCTGGAGCTCTGGAGCCCACGCCCTCAACAAGGGGTGGCCTTCTAAGGCTCCCAGGCCTTGGAGGTGTAGCTGGCTGCAGCACCTGAGATGGCCTGGGGCTGAGGCGGGAGGGGCAGGGTGCTGGGCTCACCTGGTGGAAGGAGGGGAGGTGATGGACCGCCGCCCCAGGGTCACCTGGTTTATGTTGTAGTAGCTGGGACTCTCCAGGTCTGCCAGTGAGAAGTTGGGCCCTGATGCTGTCGCAACAGGAGCTGGGAAAAGGCAAGAAAGTGATAAGGTTTGAGGTGCGGAAGGCCCAATGGACCCTTGTTTTATCGTCCTAAGCAACTCCCCAGAAGCCTCCTCCTGGCTGGGGCGTCTTTGGGCAAGAGCCCTCAGTGGTGATTTTTCTCCTCCGAAGCAGTGGGGACTACAGACTGGGCTCCCCAGGTGCCTCCGCTCCACCCGGCCCAGTACCAACGGGCAGAGCATCCCAGGAAACCCTGTCTGCCCCTCGGCCAAGACCCCTCCAGCGGGGGGCCACACGGGGTCCGCGTCCCACCTCCTTACACCCCCAGTCTGCTGAGCTCGGCCCTGGCTAGAAGAAAGAACTCACTTACTCTGTGATACTCTCACCAGCTCTGTCACATTCCAGACCCCGGAAGTCACAAAACAGTCCTGGAAACTTAAGTGCCCTGAAGAGGGGAAAGGACAAGTGAGTGAGTCAGGCAAGGCTGGGTGGGGGGCTGCCTGCCCGTTTCCCTGAAGCTCTCCACACTCGTGCTTTGACTCCCTCCCCTCCAAGCCTTGCATTCCAGACCCAGGCTGGCCCTCAGGGGCCCTCATGTCTACACAGAAGGGTGAGTAGGCTTCAGGTGAGCTCCCGCCCTTGGGGCATCAGCTGAAGTTCAGCTAAGGATTGGCTGAGTAAAGGGGAAGAAATGGAGGAGAGGGGATGCCTGTTTGGCCAGGGGGAGGGAGGGCAGGTAGGGGCAGGGCAAGCCACAGAGGCTAGACATGGGCCCACAGGAGCAGGGTCGGGGGGGGGGGGGGCACTGACCGTTGGGCAGTGGTTTGATGTCCGCATCTCCTTGCTGGTTTGAACTATCTGATTGTCCGGATTCTGCAGGAGACACAAAGCGGAGAAGGGGTCAAGATCAAAGTGCCCCCCCCACACCATCCAAGCAGCTGCCCCTCCAGCCCTGTAAACACCTTCACAGCACCCTCTCCTCGGAGGGAAGCAGCCTAGGGACACCTGAAGAGAGAAAGAAGGAAGTCCTATGGACACCGGAGCCAGCTCCTTCTCGGTGGCGGGGTGTCCTGGGCACTGTGGGGAGGTTGGCCGCAGCCCGGGCCTCCACACACCGGATCCCAGTAGCGCCCCAGTGTGACACCCAGCACGGGCTGCGGACACTGCCCCATGTGCCTGGCGGCAGAGTCGGCCCCGGGAGAGTAGCAGCGGCTGAGGACCAGGGCGAGGACGATACCCATGAGAGAAGCCAGCGATCACCTCTTTGCACAGCTGGGATGAACCCAAGGGTCCCCCATCCTCCACTCGGCTCCAGCTCCCAGGGGAGCAGCCCCTTCCTTCTCTCACTTCATTAATTACAGCCATTCCTACATCTCACCTTTATGCGCACAGGCAGTGCCTGGCAACCCCGAGGGGGGAGGTCTGCCCTGACGCTGTCGCCCACTCTGTGCCAGCCTGTCTGGGCTGTCTCATGCCCCAGTGCCACAGCTGCTCAGAGGGAGCCCCGAGACAAGGGCCCATTGTGTGGCGGGAGCTCACAGAGGGCTGGGGCAGGGTGGAGTGTGTGTGTGAATATTTTGTGGAGCTTGGGAAAGCCCCCCACCCCCGCCCCCCAGGTCCTCAAAGCTTTGTGTGCCAGGGGCACAATGGGGACCTCCAGAATGCCTGCCCAGGCACGACAGCTGGCGAGAGGGTGGCAGAGGGGGGCCAGGGCAGGTTGGGGGGCAGGAGGAAGGCGAGGCATTTGGTAAAGAATCGGCCGCTCAAGGGGAAAACATGGGGGTGCCATCAGAACACCGCACCCTGGTATCGGCCCAAGGCTCTGCCCAGCTCTCTGACCCGGCCTCCTGGGCCTCACCCACCACCCCACGGTCAGCCTGCCGGCCTGAGAGCGCCCCCACCTCAGTGGCCTCACAGCCAAGCTGCTCACACTTGGGGGGTGACCAACGAGGAAGTTCCTGAAGAACAAGGCCTAGGCCCAAGAGACTGCAGTAAGGTGGCCTGTGGCCGCTCGGCCACTCAGGAGGAAGGGAAGAGTGATGGCTGAGGGGGGTTGGTAAGAAGAACAGTGTCCCCCTGGGAGCAAAGGCCCAGGCTTGGCTCAGGCCAAGTTCTTGTCCGCCTGCCTCAATGTGACCAGTGGGAAAGGACAGGTTGCCTACAACAGGACAGTTTCAGTCCCCACTTGCCCCATTCTTTACCTTGTTCGGTTTTTTTAAATCCAAAAAAAATCTCATCATAAATCGAGAAAACAGAAGTCTATAAGGAAAATGTTAATGAGGGCCCCTCACCCCCTCCAATTTGGGGCACATCCTGCCACACCGCCCTTTGTGCTCACGCCTGTGGTGTGTTTAGGGATGGGGAATCCTACCCCAGGCCGCATCTTTGCTCGTGGCACTCTCCGCTCTGGAGAGAATCTACAGGACCTCCTCCCAGGCTCCCAGGAGGGCACCCTCTCTGTGCCACAGTGTCTTGTGGGTATCAATTTTGTCTTTCTCTCCTCCTGGCCTCTTTCTGGCTCTCTAGGTCTGATTCAACCCCCCTGCCAGTCCAGAAAGACTCAGGTCTTTCTGAGGGTGTGCGCAGTCCATTCCAGGACATCCCTAGACTGGGGGTGCCGCGAGCCTGCTTCATCTCCCAGGAGCCACTCTGAGTGTGCCACTCAAAGCTTCCGAAGGGCAGACCCACCAGCCCAGCGCCTGCAGCCCCCTGAGGGGCACACGCTCCCCTGTGGCCCGGGGGGGGGGCGCCTGCTACTGACCCCACCCATCCTGGGACCGACTCAGTCCCCACTAGCCTTCCAGGTCCGGGTCCGTGGAGTTGGGGGTGCCAGAGGCGTCCACCCAAGGGTGTGGTCCCGGGCCCCCCTGAACGCGGCCAGGTGGAGACAGAAAGCTGCGCGCATGCGCACATCCAGCCCAAGGACAGCAAGGCGAGAGAGAACCCGACAAAGAGATGGAGGTGGGCCAGCGACTACGGCAGAGACAAATGGGGCTCCAGGAGAGCGCGATAGACAGGAAATCCTTCTAAACCAGGACACTGTCCCGAAACGTTATTGCTGTTATTACTATTAGCTAGATGTAAAGGAGCAAGTGGGAGCGAGGATCCAGCGCGGGCGAGGCCCGCTGCCACGCGCCTCCAGGCGCTGCTGGCAGCCATCTTAGCCCTTGGCAGCCATCTTACGGCTGGCGGCCCAGCCAGCGTCCCCACAATGCCACCCCCGCCGGCCCCCGGCGTGCTCAGCTCAGCTCCAGGACAAAAGGCAGAAACGCTGGAAATCTGGACCCAGCCAGCCCTGCAGCAGGGGCAGCTCCGGCCAGGGCCCCATCGGCCCGCTCTAGCAGCACCCCCTGCACCCTCGCGGCCCGCGTGCAGCAGGAGGGGAAGGGAGGGTTAAAGCAGGAGCCCTGGGGACACTATGGTCTGCTCAAAGGCAGCTGAAACCCCTGCTGGCCAGCCCCAGGCCCAGGGGCTCAACTACGAACCCTGCCCAGACAGGACAGTAAGGGACGTGATGGGGCAGACCCTTGTCCACCCTGTGGACAGACGGGGCGGGGGTGGGGGGGGTGCTGACAGGAGCCCATAGAGCAGCAGCAGGGCCAAAGAGCCGCGGGCCCTGGTGGACAGGCCCCTAGGGAGGGTGAGGAGACACCCCCCCCCCCCCCAGAGCAGGGAGCCAGCAGGCTAGCTTTCTTGGGCTTTTCCAGGAGCGGTGCCTCAGCTCCAGGCCTACTCTGGACAGCCCTCTGGGATCAGAAGCTGCACCACAGGCCAGCACACCAGGGAGCCTGACACCCCAGCATCCTGACTCCTTTCCCTGTTGGGCTCCCCGGGGGAGGGGATAACCCCAGGCCTCAGGACAGACAGGAGGAAGGTCTCTTTATGACACCCCTCCCCACGCCCCGCCTCATGGCTGCTCAGCTTTTATCTGGCAGAATGGGGCTTATCAGAGCCACCAGCTGAACAAACATACAAATCCACGGTTAGTGAGAAAAAAACCCTCTGCCTGAACTCTTTATCTCCTGTTCACAGGCCCCACGCACTGCCCCCTGCCAACAGCACAGGAGGAGACCTGACTGCCGCACAGCGGGGGCTCCTCTCTGCGCTGCCCCCCTTCTCCCCTTGCCTCGGACCCAGAGCAGAGAGGCTCTACCCTGGCAGTCCCAGCCGGGCGGGTTTGCATGAGTGAGCTGCTGCCACGTGGGAGCCCCCCTCCAGTGTCTGCTTTCTCGCCAGGGATAATGGGCCAGCTGGTGGCCTGTGGGCCAGTGGAGGGGCAGGGACAGTGTTGGCTAGCACAAGGCAGACAGGTGCCCAGCTCCATCTTTTATCCTCCCCCCAAACCCTCCCCCGGCCCACGCCCCCGAGGCTGTCACTCTGATTCCCCAGCCTTCCAGGGCCACATCCTCTAGGAGCCTCTCTGGCCTCGGCTCTCCTCTGCCTGGCTGCCAGAGCGGTGGGGCCCCTAAGTACACATCCCCGGTTTGGGGCCACCCTAAGGTCAGCAAAGCAGCCCTAAGCCCCCTGCCTGCACCTCTCATCAGAGACCCCTGGTGCCTTCACGCCCTAGCAACTGGAGATGGGAAGCAGCCGCCAGGGGCACCGCTTTGGCCCGGACACAACTCAACCTTTCCCTCTATCCTGGCCCGGAGGACCAGAGGGCATCATCTCTGGTTTTAAGCTTCCTCGCATGAGGCCCATCGAATATAGCCTCCTGAAAACAGTCCAGGCCTGTGTCCTATGCCTGGGCTTGATGCCCTGTGCAGACCGGCATCAGGGTCCCTGAGCCCAGGTCAGGTTTGGGGTTGGAGAGAATCTCAGAGCCTACAGCTTATTCTCCACCCACGGAAGCATGCTCAGCTGACTGCCCTCTGCGTGGGACCTGCGCTACTCATGGGATCCACACCTCAAAGGCAGAGGCCACCTGCCCATAGTGCCTGAGGGCCCTGGCCACTGTGGAGGCTTCCGGAAGCGGGGACTACGCAGGGGGCAGGTAATGGATCTGGACTCTGTCTCAGCATGGCTCCTGGGTCTGGGGCTACTCCCTGTTCATCTGCACACGTGTCATTAGGCAGCCCCCTTGCATCGATGGCCTGTGGCCTTCTGCGGTACCCAGACCCAGGCCAAGCTCAGCCAACAGCTGGCATGTGGGCCCCCCTTCCTTAGGTCCCTCCACAGCCCTGGAACAGCCACAAGCCCCCCCCCCCCCCCCGGACTGCCTTTCTCTGAGCACCAGCTCTGCCTTCTCTGCTCTTGAAGGCCCCCTCCTTGCTTTTCGGAGCTCTTCACCTTTTCCTCTGGAATCCCACTTCTGGTCTCATTTTTCTCTCGGCTCCACACTCCTCTCTCTGTCCTTCCTTCTCCTTCACGTTCCCTTTCTCCAACTTTCTTTCCTCTCCCAACCTTGCCTGTTTCTATGTGTGTGTGTGTGTGTGTGTGTGTGCGCGTGCGCGCGCGTGTCCCCAGAAGGGCTCTGCCTCTTCGTGGGAGCCCTGGAGGGGAAGCTGCAGCCGCCAGCAGGGGCCCAGTGTTGCGCAGGAGCCCCGACTGACAGCATGTTATCTGTGTGTACGTGTGTTCCCAGTCACAGGCAGACGGGCAGATATTTACGGCTCCCGTTAGGTAAAGGAGGAATTCCTGCTTGACGCCAGGAACGCTCTGCCTCGGCTCCCACCCGAAACGAGCTCCCTCTGTGAAAGGGGCCACATGGAACTTGCTGGCCGGCTGCCTCCACGCACATCACTGACAGAGTGAGCGCTCAGGTGGCCAAGAGGAGGGAAAGGCCCAGCTCAACCCCACCCACACGTGCACACACGCAGGCAAGCACAAACACTCACACACGTGCACATGCCACCAGCAATTTCCTGCCGTCC